GTTTTGGGTTAGGGTTTAACCCCCGATGTGAGTCCCGAACGTCTTCCCGGGGACCCGAAGGCAACTTCGGGATTCAAGTCCCACGGCCTAAGCGTTGGGACTTTAGAAGGGACCCCTTGTAGGGACAGTTGTGGCTGATGGGGGTTCAGATGGGAACTACCTATAAGTCATATAAGTAATATAAGAGGCATATATGGAAATTCACTTGAAGAACATTTTTGGGGGGTGAAAGCCAGTAGTACCATATTCTTGCTATCAAATACAATACCAACAAAAGGAAGATATAGTCTTCTTCTACATTGGGTACCTCGGTGACCTCAGATATTAAAAAAAAAACGATTCAATAGATTTAAGGGCAAAACCCCGACCCCTTGAATGGCCCTTGACTGCTGTATACGGAGCACCAATTCTATACAGCCCTTACAGGAGCTAACGGCCGGTATTAGGGCCCATGCTTGCAACCCTAGAATTGCCCACCTTGTGCTTAGAGTTTGGGGTTGCAAGGACTGAGGGAATGGATCTGCTTAGTCCTTCCCTATAATTCCCATAATCATGGGCTTTTGCAATACTGCTGCTGCTTTCCAGCCTTACAGATGTTTTGAGCCCTCTCTCTGCTCTGAAAATTCAGATCTGGGCCTGTTCAGCCCGCCTTTTGACGTCGCTCTGCATTTCCGGCGGTAGGTCTTCGACTTTACATTCGGGGTCCTCACACAAACTCGGGATGCGCATAGCCTGAAAGTAAACCGGCTGCATAGGGCCACAGGATCACTGTGGCAATGGAACTGAGTCTGTGCACCGAAGTAGTCAGCGCCATCTACTACAAATGAGCCAAGATTCTCTTCGCCTGTCACTCGTACACATAGAAGCTGGCTTCATGCAACAAATACCTGCCTCCGCGAAAGCCTTCATCCATGCGTCACTCATCAGCAAGATCTGCAACACCTGCAACACGCAGTCACAAACAGCTCTCAAAACCCGAGCGCCTGTCGGCAAAAACCCAAAAACGATCACGTGCCAAAAGTTGCGCAGATGCTTGATCGCCATGTGAAAACTCAAGACGAGCAGGCCTTCTTCCACGTTACTAGATTAATAGAAGAGCCCACAGCAACCTCTTGATGTTTCAAAGCAAACAACATTTTTGTAGCATGCAACTAAGATGCTTCGTGCACTCGGTCGTGGAGGAAGGGCCTGGCAAGGACGTCCCATGGGTCCTATACTTCTCCCCCTGGACTACCACAAGAAGCTGGCGAACAAACATGGGGATCAAGGGAAGTTGGCAGCCACCCGCATCACCAAGCCTCTCTTTGCAGAGTTTGCAAAGATATCTCCAGGCCACATTCTTCTCCTACCGAGCATGATTCAGTGCGAGCACCATCAAGCTAGACCAGTCAACGGCCTGGCAGTATCATGAAAGATCCACAAGTGGCGAGAAAACAGATCAAAGCACTCAGATCCAAGCACGCCAGAAGTAGGCTGAGTTCTCAATACTGCCAAAGTCACCCCTAGAACCCCCCAGTCAAAGGACCTTCCAGAAAGTTCCCTGATAAAATTTGCTCTTATGTCCATAACCGGGTATGTGGTAATTTCCGAAAATAGGGTGACCCCAATATACACCCCTATCATGGGGACCCCCAAAATTACCCCCGTTTTTGGGAAACCCCCATGTAGAGAGGCTCCAGTCTCCTCCAAAGAATCGAGCGCATCACGCTCCTTGCGTAGGTGGACGCACGCCACGCGGAACTCCCGGAAAACCTTCTGCAAGCCCATCACAGATGCACATGTCATCGCCTTCCTCTGGCTAGCAGCGACTGCAAAAATAGAAAGAAAATGGAAACTACAACCTTTCTAGGGATTGTATAGGGGCTGCGGCAAAGATCTATTCCTTCATTCCTTCATTCCTTGCTAACCAGAGGTAAGACCACGGCCAAATGTCTGAGCTTCAGGCAGTTTCGCAGTTGTTTGCGAAAGAATATCCGTTTTCCTTAGCACCACTGAAGATGACGCTGCATGCACAAGGAAATGGTCTTAGAGCTCTGTCCCAACTAACAGGCTTACTGCAGGATCCCACCCTAGGGTTTGAAGTCTAGGGTTTAGGGTTTAGGGTTTGGGGTTCAGGGTTAGGGTTTGGGGTTTAGGGTCTGGGGTTTAGCGTTTAGGGTGTAGGGTTTGGAGTTTAGGGTGATGGACCTTCAGCAAAACCCTGAGGCCATGTGCAAAACAAGCTTCAGGCAGGAGTCTCTCTCATGACAAAAACCCCATGCCAAAACTGGATTGTTGTTAAAGAACTTAACAGGAGCTACCATCCTAACAAAACCCTGTCAGTGGCTGTACATCCATATTATTCTGGCAACAACCCAGTTTAACCTCTTGAGCAGCTAACCCTCTGCAACCTAAACCATCCGCACGCCCAGCTTCAAGCAGTGGTATCATACTGTCTCGAGCTTTGCGCAGCCTTTCCATTCGCTGGGCCACCGGCTTATCCAACCTCAGAGCTCCAATAAAGACGGCTATATACGGTTCAGAGCTTAGGGTGGGGATGTCTAGTGCTATCTAGGGAATTCTATAATATATATATACACATAGAGACAGGGTGTAGGGGATATCACCACCACCTGAAAAGAAAATGTAATCTAAAATGGAAACCGGCCGTATGTAAGGGGTGTGGATAATGTACTGTAGGGGCTTAAATACATGCCAATCATCATCTTGAAGTCAATTCTACAAAGAATAGAATGCCAGAATGTTGGTAATCATTGGAGCTTCTTAGAATTCCGGTGCCGTTTAGGTGTACGTCGGTGTTCATGTGAACGCGGAGATTAAGTTGGCAAATGATGCGGCAGGAATGCGTGTTGCTTGACTTTCTGCTGGCTTCTCCTTGGTGACTCTTCCGGGATGAGTCCTTACGGGGATGCGGGCATGTGTCTAGAATTGGTAAATCCAGAAGTAGATTGAATTTTGCAGAGGCATGACAACCTCGAAACATGTCAAAAACTGGACCCTAAACCCTAAACCCACATAATATAGTAGTTTCCATTTTATTTTCCATGATCCCAATATTACCCCCATATAAACCCTAGAATTGTAGTAGTTTCCATTTATTTTCCATTAATAGTTGTATCTCTAGAGCTCCTACGAGCTGCTTCAACTGTTCAAGTGAGCAATAATCTAAACTCCTTAAAGGGGGGTTATACAGGGGCTTATATATGGGACTACTATAGGGAATATTAAGGGGGATACTAGGAGTTTAGACTATAGCTCAAGTGACTTTTTGCAATCGTTGTCCCGTCTTGTGTTAGGGCGGAAATCCCAACCTTTTGAGGAATGCGCTAAGATGTTCTTGAATATTCAAGGTTTACGGCTTGGGAATCAAGAGTAGTTGTGCCACACGATCTAATAGGGTTGGGGGGAATTTGGCTGCCCCAAAAACACCTGCAACCTCCAATGATTTTTAGTATAGGCATCCGTATATACAGGAGAATGCTTGCGCCCCCAAACCCCTTTCCCCAAGGTGACACCTCAGAACCATTCAGCCGTGATGCCTACACCTGAACCGTAAACCCTAACGCCTACACCCTGCAAAACAAAGCCTACTCTGAGGCCGGGCGTAGAAGGATTTCCAATAATTAGGGCCCTCTTCTTGCGGGTGGTATCTTGGGGTCTATATTTGGGTCTCACTCTACGGAAATTGGCAGAACCATTTGGGACCGTTTCCCAGCCAAACCACTGGGGTCTTAGCTGACTGCACGACCCGTTCTAAAACTCTAAACTTTCAGTTATGGCAACATTGGAAACCCACAAAGTTAAAGTCCTAAGAGACAGGCGGAAACAGCCAAAATCTGATTTGGCAAGCCAAGCCAAGCAACAGGTCATTCCTGGCTAAGGGGCTGCCGGGTCCGTCTGCCATCAGGGCTGGCGGTACGGCAAAGGGCACCGAATTTTTGAAATCCCTCCGGGGAATGAGATTCAGAGACCGGAATAGTCGCAGTGGGATCCTGGGGTAGCGCATACTGTAAGCTGTATGGTACTGTTAGGTCGGGGTGTGCAAGGGGAAGGTATTGATACGTATCTCGGCTCATGTCTTTGTGCGGTCTACACTAGTTGAAAATGCTACTGAACTTGGAATGGTTGTCTGCTGGCCTGTATTGCCCCTTCTGCATGTTGGATGGCTGGCTAATGCCCAGGTTGCTGAGTGATTCTGCAGTCTCAGATCCTGCGGCACCGGAAGCATGACGCCGCGATCTACCTGGTTACCTGGTATCCTTAATTCCTCTTGCGGCTCTGCTGAGAGAGTCACCTGCAAAGGTAGCAGAGCGTGTAGACCTTACAAATTGAATGCAACATCTGCTGCTGCATGTCAGAATCAGAGTTTACCATGAAGGCAGCATTCCGTCCAGAATGCGTTGGGCAGCCTCATATCGAGCCTACACGAGTACATAAACTGCAGTCCCGAAGCAAGATATGCTAGAATTGTGTTCGGACAAACCGGAAAGGCAAACATCATCAGCAATCAGTCTTCCTTCCAGATCACGGACTGAAATGACCATGCATCCTGCATATATCCTTCCTCGTCTCTGCAACCATTTTGCATCGAGCTTAAGAGGTGCTTCAGCGCCCAAGCAGACACATTGAGGCATTCTTCTTCTGAGTACGTGCCGAAGCCAAGATGTTTGTACAGGAGCCGCACGGGAACCACGGCTTCTGGCAACCACGGCTAGTGGATAAGCGGCGCAAGCCATCTGCCGGGCGTAAAGGCTCGTTTTGCGCTGCTTCGATGGAGTACTTTTTCACCCATCCGCACTTTCGTGGACGGCAAGGGCGGCCTCAAAAATCACCCCTGCCCAAGCACAAACTACGCGGTCCCAGCACGAAAGCCTGCATCAGTGAAAGCCAGGCACAAAGAGCCCCACAGGATGCCTGGTTGTGCATGCTCGACCGCCTTGATGTCGAGGCCACCGCCCGTGCCACGATGGGTCTGCCATGATTCCCTCTGACAGCAGCCTTCAGCGGGTGGCCTTGGGCACCAGGAACCTGTCCTTCCAGAAATACGTACATCCAGGGCGCGGCACACAGGCAACCTGGTCGTGCTCCACATCTGTGAAGCCTGCATCTCGCAGCTTCGGGATCGTCTCTGTGCGGAAGGACCGGATGCATTCTATCCAATTCCTCTCAAGGCTGGTCGGAAGAGATATTGCTTGACATAATACAGGGATACGGATCTTACAACTAGCAGACCTTCATTCCGCAAAGGGCCCAAGTACCAAATAATCATATGCTTACCCAAAACCTATACCAAAATTACGATTACCCAAAACCCAAGTACCAAATTATTGGGTGCATGGACCCTCTGGGTTCCCTGCTGACCAGCAGCCTGTCCTCCCTGCATCAAAGTAGAAAGTGAAGACACCACCAGGACGAAGGAGCCTAGCAGCTTCCACGAAGAAGGCCCCGACCTTCACCAGGACACCCCAAGACCCCAAATGGTAGCTTCCCAAAATAGTGGGACCCCAATATAGACCCCAAAATACTATAATCCCTAGTATTGGGAGCTTCAAAGAGGTACCCCTAGTTCTGGGAACCCCCCAAATCGCAACAGGTCTGGGAGTTAGGATTTGCTAGCCACAGAAAGCAAAGGCTTCAAGCACACATTTGGTTCATATGGATTTTTCAAAATAAATCTCTCCCCAAGAGAATACGGTCATCCTCGTTCAAGGACCACTGATTCCCGGGATTCCCGGCGAGACTCCAAGTTACCCTTGTGATACAATCCCACCCCCCGTCTCCCCACCTCTCCATCTCCGGCAGCCTCCCCCGGGGACAGCGGGTAGGCATCGAAGAGGATGCCACCGAAGCTGCCACTGGCCATGCTCGGCACGAGATCCTGCTGAGGGTCAAGAGCATACTTGATGTGGCAATGCTGCTGATAATTGCTTCCTCCGGCTCCTACACCTACCCCTACCTGTACTCCTCCTCTCACCAGCACCACATACTCCGTTATTCCTGCTTCCTCCTACAACGACTATCACCTCTACTGCTGCTGCTACCTGGTGCGACTGCCGCAGCTACCGCCACTGCCACTGCTACAACTATTCGGGACAGTATGACTGCTCGTACTACTTGCAAAATTTTCGTCCTACCATAAACATTGCCACGCCGATTTCACACCAGCATAGAAGCCCTGCACAATGCAGGCTTTATTTACCAAAAGATGCCGTTTTCATGACTGTTAAGCATGGAGGTCCAAATCTAAATCACCGGTCCTGCCAGAAGCCTCCCAGGACAACAGTGGGGCACCTTGACATCAATCAAAAGACTGCTTGTTTGGGCTCTAGGGCAGAGGTCATCCAAAAAAAGCTGACACACAGCCAAGACAAAGTCCGCTAGGCCTTCGGCCCTACACCCTGACTCCTAACACTGAAGCCCCAAGTCCCAAAATTCTGAACCCCAATCTCTAGATATCCTACATGCTGAAGAGGCACTTCGCTGTCTCCGCCCACAGCTCCGCTCGACCCAGGACCTCTGCATTGGCCTCAAGGATCACGTGCCCCTCCACACCCAGGTTATCCTCAGCTGCCATTTTTTGCTTTTGCAACGCTGCCGGTTGCCAGTTCTTTGCTTACCTTTGGTTAGCCAGGAATGAAGGAATGGATCCTTATAGCAATCCCTATATAACCCATTATAGTAGTTTCCGCTATATTTTTCATTCCGTCGTTCCCAGCTAACCAAAGGTAAGTTTAGGGCTCAGGGTATGCCGCTCAGGCTTCCTAAGACCTCTTTAAAGTCTAAAGCCTAAGGTCTCCTCGTAATGGGCTTCCCGTGTTGATGGAATCCCCTTAGGCTTGCGGTTCAGTCCCTAAACCCTGAACCCCAAAACCGAAAACCCTTACCCTTAATCCCCAAACCCCAATCCCTAAACCCTATCCCTTAACCCCAAATCCCTGAATCCCAAACCCCCTAATGGTTCGGGCTTCGGTTTAAAGCATCACCAAACAGCTTGCGAGCTGCGATGGCGGACGCAGACAAGCCCAGGCCAAAGCCAACCTGCTACAATCCCTACAATTCCTCTTTAGGGTATTGGGGTTATATAGGGAGAATGGAAAAGATAATGGAATTTAGGGTTTAGGGTTAAAGGTTTAGGGTTTAGGGGTTAAATCCCAGTTTCCATGTTCTTCCCATTCAATTCTCCATAATTGGGAGTCATATTCCCATATACGCCCTATGTTACCGCTTATAACCCAGACCCCGCCCTGGCTCCACCTGGGATGGGGGATTGCAGAAGCTGAGACTCATGGAGAGCATGAAAACGACAGAAACTGTTGGGCCTCAACAGACTAAAGAAATACTAGAGGCTCTGGAGATCATGGGGTCTAGCTAGGGGGATTGCAGAAGCAGAGAAGAGAGGCCTTCGAGGTCATGGGGTCTAGGTAGGGGGATTAGGCTTTAGAGAAATCCTGATAAAAAGAACATCGACTTGGCTGTACCAGCTAGGTCAGAACCCCTGCGAGTCGCACCATCCTGGTTTGGCATGTGGGGAATATCTTCAACGAAGATACTCTAGTCCCCAACAAATTATGTTCTCATTTTGGTTATAATATCAGAATTAGAAGGATATGAACAGGGCATAACCTTACTTTGTTCAAACCCCCTACACCCTAAGCGCGACTCATACTGCTGGGAAGGGTTCCGAAGAGAGTTGGAAGGACTACTCCTTGGGCCTGGAAGGTCAACCTGCCCAGGCACAAGTTGCCTTTCTTACCGGGTTTTACTCATTTAAGGTCAGAGCTTTGTGGTTTAGCTTGGGTACTGCCCCCCCTCACTAACAGTTGGATAATAATTCTAATATGGTTATATATGGCCCTTAATAGGACCCCTAATATAGACTGTTAGTAGGGGGGGGCAGTACCCAAGGTTTAGGTGTTTAGGGGCTCCCCCAAACCCTAAACCCAGGTTCTGGTAAGCCTCTCCACCACCCTGAGGTTACCGAAATCGCCTGGACCTTCAAACTCCTCACATCCACAGGATTTCGTCCATATCAATAAAACGTTTGGGAAGGTGCGCCCCATGAGTAACACACGTTTCACAAGGTAGATACTTCAGGAGCGGAACTCATACGAAAATCATACCGACCTCATAAGGAATATTCATCACTACATACACTGGACTCCTGGTTGCTCCAGCTGCCCTGCACATGACTACAGGAGTCTGGATAACTGCTGATAAGACTTCCTCTGAGTCCTTACACAGGCATGACAAACTACACCTCCAAGACCTTCAAACAGACTTTAAAGTACTGCTGGTCCATTTGGTGATGCATGGTAATCTCCATCTTGCTCCCAATCGTACTCTGGGCACCGCCTCCAAGACCCTAATGATACAAAATCCTAGTTAACTTACACTATGGCTCACCAGCCAATGCCCACTTGCTCTTACACCCCAGCCCAGAAGCCACACAGATCCTAAAACCAAAGCCCCACACCCAACGCCAAACCCCGAATTTGACCCACTAAACCACAAACCCTAGAGAGTTTCCCGAAGCAAGCAGTATAGGATCCTGAAAATGACCCCTAAGATCCCCAAACGCTAGATCCAGATCCTGAACCTTAAGCCCCAAA